GAGTAAGTTCTTGTAAGCTCCACTAATCAGGAACAAATTTAGGCGGAGCTATGGCTGTAAATAGGAGACGATGGACACTGTGAGGACGTCTGAGGAAGTCCTGGATATGTGGGTGATAAGCGTTACATCACGAGGGGCAGAGCCAGTATCCGATTCACGGAAGTGGCAAGAGCAGCCGGATTTTACAAAAAAGTGTTGGGATTGTGGTGGGATTTTGTGCAATATAAACCAACATTGATCTGAGTAAGCAGTTTTAATCTTTGTATTAATACATTTATCTTTTTATACCATTGGCATGTTCTTGGTTTGTGACTCCCACACAGTGTTGCAGATTGTGCTAGGGTCGACTGGAATATACAATTGTGTGATTTTTTTCCCCCTCTCCATAGGAGCGTTTCTCACCCTGAGGCTCTGGGAAATGTGAGTGTAAAATCTATATTTTTTACACGTGTGCACAACTCTAAACTCGATATCAGATGGTCTGAACTATATATGGTTTTCAGGTGGTTTTATGGAATTTTATTGGTGTGCTATACCATTGACCATGTGTATGTAATAATAATTTAGCGCAACACCGTTTTCTGGGTTTGGATTTTTATGTCACAATTTGAGGTGAATGCTGCTGATTTTATCACTTTTATAATTATTTGTTGTACATTGTAAAAGAATTGTCTAGCGCTGTCCACTTTTTTGGGTACTAAGACTTAAAAAAAACTGTGACATATATTTCAAGATCACATCAATATGCTATATAACAGACTCTTGTCTTTTGTAAAACCGTTTTGCTGTATCAGGTGGTTTAATCTTGTGTTTTGCTAGTTTTAAATCAGTTGCCTTTCCACATTAATAGACCCTACAGAGAATTCTATCTTAGTCAGGTCACTCCAACCTCTCTCGTTTAAATATGTGCATAATGTCTGCACCTCACATGTGGCCACGGCAAATGATAAAACTGGTACTTAATATGCAGCAGCATTATTCCACTTTTATTATATCTCAAGGGATAGGGACACCACAAATGAAATGAGGTCAGTGCATTTATATATTCAATACTGTGAGCATCTAAAACTAGCTAACTTGAGGGCTAGGAATACAGTAACCCTTTCTTGAGTAACATTGTTATTTATTAATTCTTGGGAAGCAGCTGTCAAATAAAAAAATGGAGTGATTTATTTTAACAGTAGCAGAACACTTTCTTTGGCAGTACTGTTGTTTTTTTTACTGTTATTTGATTCTTTTTTTTTTTTCTTAAAGAAACACTTTAGTGTTAGAAATAAATATGCTGTAATGTTTTACTGTTTAATTAGATACACGGTAAGAGAGTTTCCTCTTATTGCCGCTGTATACCATCCTCTGGTGATCCTCACTGGGGATCATCTCCAAGTAGTTCAATCCAATGCTTGTCAAAGGGAAACAGTGGAGTCTAGCAGTGCATGCTGTAACTGCAAAATGGCAACAATAGAATGCATCAGATAGAGAACCACTGCAATTATTTAGTCTCTGTGAGAAGTATTGTCTTCTGCAAAGAGCTGTCTAATTGACAGCCAGGAACGTGCCATTTGTAATATTTAGAAGTGCTGATTTCTGTTGGATTCAGCACATTTATAATAGAAGAAACAATGGGTACTTTGTTACCTGCTAAAGCACTTTAGCAAACTGAACTGCTTTAAAGATTTTGAGTGCTCCTTTAAACTTTTTGAAATGGCATCAAAGTCGACACTTAGTCCCTGCTTCTGTGAAGGGAGTGAAGCATGGACGATCATGGAGGCTAACTATTGGTTTTCAAACACTGTCTGAAGGATCCTGTCATATACTAAAGTTATGTATTAGTTTCTCAAATTTTTCTTACATTTCAAAAATCTAACCTTTTTTTCAAAACTTGGTGAAAAGCTTAAGATAATAATAATAAAAAAAATGTTTTGAGGTGACAGTTGTCCTTTAAAAATATCAATGGAGGAGGTATACTTCCATATGTTATAAGAGCCCTTTTCTGTGCATTAAACTTGTGCATTTGATTTTGGCCGAATTGTAATTCACCTGAATTTAGGCCGATGCGTGGATTGGTGGTTCAGTCAAATTCCATATCTGTGAAGTGCCATATAGACATATAGCAGAGAAAGCAATTAGCAGGATGGAGAAGCATGTTCATTTGCTTTATGGGTTTGGAGATCCACCCATGGTGCCAAAAAAGATTCAAGGGGAAAAAAAACCATAAATTGCTAGACAAATCTAGCCATTAAATGTTAATTTTCTTCAATGATCAAGTGAGAAGTAAACAATAGAAGAAAAAAAGAAACAACCGAAAAATCTATATTTATATATTTTGTAAATATATATAATAATTTATAACTGCTCTTCCTCTTTTTCCCTTTATTGAATAATTTGTCTCTCTTGATCTGAGAACCAAATGGCATAAAGATGTGCTGTGTTCAGCAAAATATAAACATATTATATATTTTTTGTTTTTACGAATCATTTCCTGAATACTTTTCATGGACGATATTCTGATAAGCTGAACTGTCAAAAGAGTGAGTGTTGATGGTCCCAAACTAAATTTCAATTTTGGAAAAAATGGTTTCACGCCGAGTCTAATATCCACACACATTAGAAACTGCTGTTTTTTATTATTACTTTTTGAGAAATTACAGATCCACATACGCAAACATAGAATACTCAATTACTAGCTACAGTTTAAGATATTTTGTGCCAAAGTGAAATATATTTTTATCACAAAGCCGTCTAGTGCAAAGCTATGTAACAGGGTTAATGTAATGTACAAAGTATTCATGAAGCAGTGTAATTTCTGTATGAACACTAGATGGAGACAAAGTAGCATTTGCTACATCTAACAAGCTATTCTCCTGACTGGCTAAACTTCAGTCCTGCTGGCGTGATCCATGCTTAAGGCAGTAGTTAGATTATGGATATTTTATGAGCTTTGACAAAGCAGTATTCAGCAGAGAAAGACAGACATCTGTGAAGCAGGGAACAATATTTCAATTCCTTTCTCTGTGCATTTTTCCACAAGCGCAAATGCATCTCAAATGTGTTCTTCATGAAAAAGTAATCTTGCTATAAAATGTAAAATAAATGTGAGCTTGTTTTTTTTTTTATTTTTTATTTTTTTTTTGTGTGCAAATTTGTTAGTTATTTATTTTCAATGTGGGCATATTATGTTAAAGGACCACTATAGTGCCAGGGAAACAAACTTGTTTTCCTGGCACTATAGTGTTAATAGCCAGGCTCTAGGGGAAGGAAGGGGTTAAATACTTACCTTTCTCCAGCACCGGGCTCCCTCGGCGCTGGGGACTCTCCTCCCTCTTCCGGCATCATCGGCTGCGCATGCGCGGCAAGAGCCATGCATGCATTCAGTCAGTCCATAAGTAAGCATTTCTCAATGAGAGAGAAGGAAGGGGGGGGGAAGGGCTGCACTATTAATACAAGAAATAGTAGGTATATCCCAGTGTATAAACTATATTCTTGTTAAGATAAAATAAATAAAACAGAGTCCATGCAGTAGTAGAGAATAAAACAAAGTCCATGCAGTAGTAGAGATCAAATAATAAAATGTCCAATAAAATCGTCTCACTGATATATGGATAGAGCGTGTGTACAATTCTCAGGAGTTGATCCGTCCGGGTTGTGGGTAGTCCATATATGTGAAGATAAAAGCACGACAAACTTCCAATGGTATAGTATGTAACTAAAAGAATAAGTGAAATAGAAAATGGAGGGTAATACACTCACATTTTTTTTTTTTTTTTATAATTCTTTATTTTTGTAGTGCATAGGTAAGTAACAGTCGCTTGTAAGGTACCCCAAAGGCAATCCTCCAGCGTTTCATATTTATGTGTTTACATTGGGGTTTAGGAGAAACATGCACAATTTTTAGGGTTATTAAGTAACGATTAATACAATTCGTTGCAGACAAGTTTGATTAGTTATGTCTCGTCAAAAAGGTTAGTGAAATTTTTAAAACAACAACAGTGAGATTGCAATGCTATCTTGCTTAACTAGTAATGCATTAGGTCATGTATGATATATATGAGGACATGCTTAAACATTATATTATGACATGCTTAAAGGACCACTCTAGGCACCCAGACCACTTCAGCTTAATGAAGTGGTCTGGGTGCCAGGTCCTTCTAGGGTTAACCCATTTTTTCATAAACATAGCAGTTTCAGAGAAACTGCTCTGTTTATGAATGGGTTAAGCCTTCCCCTATTTCCTCTAGTGGCTGTCTCATTGACAGCCACTAGAGGCGCTTGCGTGCTTCTCACTGTGATTTTCACAGTGAGAGCACGCAAGCGTCCATAGGAAAGCATTGTAAATGCTTTCCTATGCGACGGCTGAATGCGCGCGCAGCTCTTGCCGCGCGTGCGCATTCAGCCCAGGAGGAGGATCGGAGGAGGAGGAGAGAGCTCCCCGCCCAGCGCTGGAAAAAGGTAAGTTTTAACCCCTTTCCCCTTTCCAGAGCCGGGCGGGAGGGGGTCCCTGAGGGTGGGGGCACCCTCAGGGCACTATAGTGCCAGGAAAACGAGTATGTTTTCCTGGCACTATAGTGGTCCTTTAACTATTGTATTTACTATGAGACACACGTTTTGGTACCATGGAGACAGATTGGGTCTGAAGCAAATAGGCTAAGGCATAAAGCATAAATTTTAAAAACACACGGGATATGTTACTGCCTCCACATCTACATGAAACAGGGCTCCACCGGGCGGTCAGGCATATGTCCAAATATCTGGCAAGATTCACAATTTGGCTCTTAAGTTCTGCACATTTGGTAGTAACCTTTAAGTACCAGCCATACATAATTAAAACATATGTTGATTGTCGTTCTGCTAGTGTATTATGAGGGGAGAAACATAGATAAATTAAAAAAAATGGCTAATGAGCAAAATTAAAGTAAATTGGTCTATCTTTGCATACTGTATTAGCAAGCTGAGATAACAATAAGTAGGGGAACAGTGCACCAGCTATAGCCTGCCCGGTGAGGTTATGCCTTATCACCGATCTTAAGCTTGCATAGGCATAGTCCGCCTTCGGTGCCGTCCATCATCCGATCCCCGCAGGTGGGCCAGCGGAGACCGTCCGGTTCCTTGTCTGGTAGGCGTGTGGCACTCAGGTGCAGGAGAGACTGTGTGCTGATCCCGGACCTATGCTTGTGGACCCTAGTAGGAGTGCCATGTAGAGTTGTCATCGGGTGGGTCCCCTTGAGGCTCCTCTGGCAGGCCCTCCTCCTTTCCCTGCCACTGTTGAAATGGCTAACATTGTGGTGATGTGTAACCGAGGTGTCAGTCTGCCCCAGGGTCTCTGAGGGGTTAGTACCTCTTGGTAGTGACCTTGGTGTCTTCTGGGGTCTGTGATCTTCCCGTTTGGTTGGACCTTGCATGTTCTTGGTTTAGGCTGTTGTGTATATGTTGCAGCCCTCCTTGGGGGTAGTTTGTGCTTGCCGATTAGGACCCTCTGTGCTCTCTGCCCAGGTGGGTAGCCTCTGCCTGTTGTATTAGCTTGGGACACCTTCCCGCCTTCCGGGGGCTTCCCGCGTCTCATCTTGCTGCTTCTACGTTCGCCCGTGGGTAACTTTTGTATGGATGCCGTTTGTTTCGCTCTACACGATAGCTTTGCCCAAAATTTGTTAAAGAGCTCCTCGATTTTTGTCGGTCGCTCTGCTGTTAGGGCCTGCTGCCTCTGGTTGCATTATTTGCTTGCCGCGTGTTGTGGAGTTAGGCGCGTACGCCATCTTGGGTGTCGCCGCTCTTATTCTGCCCGAGAGTGTTGCCGCTACCTCTGCTTTGTCCAGGGCTGCGTTTGTCCAGCTCAGCAGGGACTGTGATATCCCACACTGGTCCAAGGGTAGGGGGGGAGGCGATGTGAGAGTGCTCCCTCTTCAGCCAGAGAACCGGGAGAGCGGCCGCCTCTCCTTGGCTCCACCCATGTAGGCTGCAGGCTGCGATGTGGTCGATTCCGCCACGGAGGGTCTCATGTTTGATATCCCCCGATGCAGCACTACCTCCTGGTCAGGACTATTGCTGTCCACAGCTTGGACGCTTTGGTGGTCGGGTGTTAAAACCCAAATCTTGGCCTCAGGCTCAGGAGCTCTTAGCAGGCACGTCTGCTTTGCTCGGCAGGTAAGCTGTGCTCTCAATACACTCACATTTGATGGAGCTTTGGACCAACTCTTGGATGAAGGGCACTTAGCGCAGACTCCTCCTCCCCTTTTTTCCCCCAAGCATTTCTCAATGCTTTCCTATGGACGCTGGCATCTTCTCACTGTGAAAATCGCAGTGAGAAGCGCGGAAGCGCCTCTAGTGGCTGTCAGTGAGACAGCCACTAGAGGTTGGATTAACCCTAATTTAAACATAGCAGTTTCTCTGTAACTGCTATGTTTACAGCATGCAGGGTTAAACCTAGATGGACCTGGCACCCAGACCACTTTATTAAGCTGAAGTGGTCTGGGTGCCTATAGTGGTCCTTTAAGAGATTATCTTGCAATTAAAATGCCCTCAGGTTTTCAAAGACTACAAAAATAAACTAAAGATAACAATACTGTATGCAACCCTGTTGACACTTTGTTTATGTACAGAAAATGTCAGGAATAGATTTGGTGTTGATAGGTGAAGCAGTAAATTGCTACAGCACTTTAAATGGTAATTTATAACTATGTTATGCAATTAACTTTTCATTGCTGACCAGCCCTGGCATCTTAAGTGGAAGGAAATTGCAGATATTCACTCACTTTTGTGTTAATTATAACATTTATTAAATAATATTAGTTCATTTCACATATGCATTTCTAAAGTTGTATTTTAAACAAGATAATTTAACAATTATGTCATATTGCTTTTATAGTATTAGACATGTTGGTTATTCCCTCTGTACGGCTGTATGTTTCTGTGTGTGTGTGTATGTATTTTATAGATAGATATAGATATAAATATATATTATAGCAGGTATCATATATAGGTAGGCATTAGGTTGTTAGAAACACAAAAATAAAGCACCACACTTACAGCAGCAGTGGCTTAGTATCTAATAACTCAAAATACATAGTAAAAACAAAGAGAACTTTACCTGCGCTCTGGCCCAAATCCCTATGTACATTTAAACAAAATGGAGGCTCTTTAGTTTTATTTCAATGGCAATCTGAATATAAGCTCACCTGCCACGTCAAGGCACTTCTACACATACAATAAACTTTGCTGGTATCAGACAAAGATAAATGTCTCTAATGAGACATGAAGGGGTGTTGTATAAACCCCTACATACTTATTTACCCTAAATAAGTATGTATTTACCTTAAATAGGGTAAATAAGTATTTAGGGGTTTATAAAACACCCCTTCATGTCTCATTAGAGATGTTCACACTTTGTCTGATACCAGCAAAGTTTGTTGTATGTGTAGAAGCCCTATGAAGGGTTAAATGTGAAAGGGTTTATAAAATACCCTTTCCTGTCTTACTGGAGATCCTTGGCTGATATCAGCATATCTAATGGCTAGTGTAGGACTCAAATATTGAGGCTTGCTTTGACATGGCAGGTGAGCTTATATATTCAAATGGCCATTGGAATAAAACTAAAGAGCCTCCATTTCATTTAAATGTACACAGGGATTTGGGTCAAAGTGCAGGTAACGTTCTCTTTTTATTAGGTTGTTAGAGTAGGATCTGCCAAAAATGGGGTACGTTGACTTTGTGACAGGCATATATAATCACGTGTAGCATAAAATATATTTATGCTGTGAGGTCTTAATAATGAGAATTTATGAGATCAAGGCCTCAGGGTCAAAAAACACATTAGGATGAGTATAGTGCCCTAAACTAATATAATATTATTATTATGATATTTATAGAGCGCCGTCAAATTCCGCAGCGCTTTACAATGGGTGGACGAACAGACATGTAGTTGTAACCAGACAAGTTGGATACACAGGAACAAAGGGGTTGAGGGCCCTGCTCAATGAGCTTACATGCTAGAGGGAGTGGGGTAAAATGACAGAAAAAGGTAAGGATAGTATTAGACTAGTGACAGTTGCAGAAGAGGAATCACTCAGGAGCTAGTAACAGTTTAATTGATATGCTTTTATGAAGAAGTGGGTTTTTAATGATTTTTTGAAGGAGTGGAGACTGGGTGAGCATCTAACAGAGGAGGGAAGTGAGTTCCACAGGAACGGTGCAGCCCTCGAGAAACCTTGAAGTCGAGCATCAGAGGTGGGAGTATGGACAGAAGATAGACGTAAGTCTTCAGCAGATTGTAAGGGCCTGACGGGACATAATTGTGTATAAGGGAGGATAGATAGGTGGGAGCAGCATATATTTAAGCTTAATTTAATTAAGCCCATTCTTGAAAGGCAAAGGGGTGTGGTCAGATAACATGAATTCATAGGTGCATCTGGCCTTGTGTTGTTGATTTAGATTGGTGATGGATTCATAAAACCATGCTTTTTTTGCTAATGCCATTGTTCTTCCCAGTTATCTCTTATTAACCCTTTAAATATCCCCAGGCCACATTCAAACTCACATGTCTGTCATCTCCTAGCAAAGATTTTGAATCCTTTTAAAACAATATAAAGTGGATACAAACTCATGCTTTATGGGAAAACTTGCAGAAACGAGTGGCAGGACCTGGATTGGCTGAGACATTGTGGCCTGTTACTGGCTGAAGAGAGGATCAGTGAGTAACCTTATATGTATAATAAATATAACAAGTCAGAGGTTACCACACTCTGCATAGTGTCTTTAAAATTGACTACAATTGGCTCCTTGTGTTTCACTAGAAACAATTGGCACCTATTCCTGTGCTCTGAAGTAGTAATTTGCTGTAAGAAAAGTGAATTTGGAGAAGAAAAGACAATTACATGGTATTACTGGATAACATGAAGCTATTAATTCTTACTGAGTAATTGATTATTTCTGGATAGTGGTAGGTCTACATAGTCATGGTGGGGTACAGTGGTGGACTGCCAAGTATGCACAGTATTACATGAAATTTGCATTAATGCTGCAGGCATTGAACACAACAGGTACCATGTTGGTTTTATATCTCTAGCAATATAAGAAATGTTAAATAAAAATAAATAAAATATCATAAAACACACTAGAAGGAGATAAAAAAAAAAACATGAAGGTAAAAACAAAAGCAGTCAATTGAAAATGACTGCTTCAGTAAGATTTTGAGATTTTAAGATGATTCCTCAAACTTTATTCTTGAATAATATTCATGTAACAGTCTGTTATGTCTTTGATACAAGATACCAATGCAGGTTAGAAATGTCAATGCAAATAGCTTGTATTGAGTTTTGAAAAAAGTACACATTATCTTGAAACTGACTTTCTGTATTGTTATTGTAGGAAATAAAAAATAATAAAAAAGAACAATAAAGGAAAAATAGATAAAAGTCTCCATTTAGACAGTCAGTAGCTCAATTAGGGACACACTGGACCTGATAAAAAAAAGAAACATTGCAGACATTATAAGACACACATTTCTTAATAATTATATATTTGCCACAATCTAGGATCTATTCTAAATATCATATTGGAAAGATAGATGCCATGCAAATACACACAACAAGAATATATGCTTATTAAACCAGTGAGTAAGAATCTTATAAGAAAAATAAGGAAAAGCAAAGCGGTAAGGTGGGGCGGTAAAACAAAAACGGGAAGAGGTGAATCTGGTAGTCATGTGAGCCACACTCAGCTATGAACCAATATTGAACTGTAGATACTAGTACAAACATAATTAAAAAAAATAATAGTTCAGGGTTAGCAAGTAGTCAACCACTGGACCCAGTGTAGGTCTGGAATGCGGTCAGATGAACTAAAGATAAGCTCCTCCATCACAGTGAGGTCCTCCATTCCTCCATTCAATATTCTAATAGTCATTGCTTTGTATGCAGTGGTCGGCTCAAGTATGGTGTAGAGCATGTATTTGTCTCCAAAGCAGGACTATCCCTAGACAATCACACCAAATATGGCAGTATGTACCCAGTGTCTCCACCACCTCCAGCACTTACAATCCTGAGAAGGAACAAACTTTGGGCCTTGTTTTTCTATCTGTCATGTTTGTAACGAGAACCACAACTCTGTTCGGGATATGGGCATCCATGTTTGAGATCCTTACTGGGCAGTACTTGGTTAACCTTGCATACTAGAACATTCAGATGACACACCTCCATTATGGCTGGGTACAGGGATGAACCAGGTGTAAATGACACATGCTTGCAGATTCTTTTTTTTTTTCTGGCAGATTGGGTGCTGTGAAACCTGTGACCCGATATTAGCTCATCTCTGCTGGATACATCACCAGCTAAGCTAAATGCATCTCTGACATTCCTACAACTGGCCCTACACACCTGACGTCTGTCCCTATTTTATAATATTCAAGCTT